TTCGTACGAGACTTCCTCCAAAAGTCACGCGTCAAGTCTCAAAAACGAGCGTTTCGCACGAGACTTCCTCCAAAAGTTTGCAGCGGAAACACCCATCGGAGCACACACATCACGCAGCCCTGCCAAGCAATTTCGCGATCCCAGCCCCTCCAAACGACACCCGCTCACACGCCAATCCCAATGTGACAGCGACATTCACCTCTACCACAACTCACAACCTCCCGATTCCCTGCGCCTGCCACGAATCTTTCCGCGTCCACACGTCTAACGCGCACAAAGTACTGCGCCTGTCACGAAATGTCACCTCCATCACGCATCGCAACCTCACGATTCCCTGCGCCTGCCACGAAAATCCCACTTCCACACCTCAAAACCCGCACAAAGTCCTGCGCCTGCCACGAAAAGCAACAATGTCATCTCATGTGAGCTTCACCAAAATTTGCACCACACCACACGTTTGGAATGATTTCGACCCGTTCTGAGCACACTCCCAGGGTCCAAAATCGGCATTTCAGCTGAGACTTGTCACGAATACAGAGCTTCGATGTCACACCCTGAAACGCAAATCCCAATGGCACGGCCACATCCAACACCCCAAAAACACGACTCTCCAAACGCTAATCCCAATGGAACTGCGTAGCAAACTGCGGATCTCACAAAACGCTTCGCCTGTGCAATGCATCACGCTTCTTGCGCGACATGTCCTTTTCACGCAAATCACAATGGACTCGCGTCGCAAACTAACACGTGACACATCCATGCATAGTCACTTGCAAAAGCTTCCCCCAATGGCAGCGCCTTAGCGACCTACTGCGGACGGTTGCGAACGGTTGCGAACGGTTGCGGACGGTTGCGAACTTAGAAACAACGGATCGCGAACAAGACTCTACCCCCAGACCCCCAGAGTTAAACGAGAACCCTTCGCTACGCATTCGGGAAAAACCAACAATTGAATGCCCCGTCTGCCACACTCAAATTCGGAAATACCGAATGACAGGGCACGAGCGAACAAAGAAGCATCAACGCAACTTGAACATCACCGATGATGAGAGAAACGCTAAAGAAAAACAAGAGCAAGAACTGACTGATGAAAAAAGAGAGAAGCAAAGAATAAGACAACACACGATAGACTATATATATTATATAAACTCTGTCTTCCCATTTTTTCAATCACCCGACCAATAAACCAACAAGGAAAATCACAACCCTAGGCAATTATCCACCTCTTCTTAAAGCCATCGCCCCAGTGATTTATTTACATCAAAAAACCCTACAGTCCTCCGAGGTGAAACCGTGAAAGGTGATGATGAAGATGATGGTGATGAACAAAAAATCTATGATATGAACTTTGAACAAAACTCCTTAGAACCCCTGTTTCCCCATTATTTAAGGGGGAGGTGAGAATTTGGTGCGCAGGGAGCCAGTGTTCCCGGTGAACGTCCCAAGGCTTTGAGCGGACTCGTTTCTTTCACGACGTTCCAGCTTGGAAGGTGCTTTACGCACTCCACATTTCTATAGATCCTTTGCAGTTGGTCACCACAAAACACGAGTGTTTTGGGAGCTCTAAGGCTATGAGCTGATCTTCAACACGGAGTCCCTCACGGTGGGGCAACACTATCGGCTTTGCGTGGATTTCGATGGGATTGGTGCTGTGCATCTCGGGTTCAGCTGGAGGTCGGGTGCCCCGTGGGTTAGATTTGGTGGCGGTCAGATAGGCAGGCATGCTACATACGCCTTTGCTCTACTTCTTCTACCCACACACACACACATAGACGCCACGTCACGTACACCAGTCCTGGAAACCAAACGACCTTTTGGAGGACTATAGTTACGTTTCACTGCTCGGTGGATGCGTCCTTTGAATCACGCTTTCGGAGGATGTGTCATTCTAGAGGATCTGTTGGGGCTGGAGCCAGCCAGGCCTGGTAGACCTGGTAGCTTCATGGTGCTTGAACCTCATCTCAGTTTCTTTATGGCTGGACCTGCTTGGGAACATCCTGGAGCTGGTCGGAAGAGAATCCGCTGGTCGGCATACCAAAAAGCACTTCCCCATGAAGTCTGAACCCTACCCATGGAAAAACCTTTAAAAACCTGTTTGGGTGATTGGGTATTACCCCACTTAGATCGTTCATTTGCCATCTCTGGTTCGGGAGTCAGGAACTCATGAAGCCACAGACATGGCATGTGTTGACCCCCCATGTGGTGGCATGTGTTGAACCCAGGATGGGTCTGCATGTCCCACTCGTGCCGGACCGTGGGACGTGGTTCCAAAACAGTCCGGAGCGAGATTTTTCTCTGAGGCAGGGCTTTGGTGCTGTAGGGATCGTGTACCTCAGTGACACCCTCGCTTCCGTGACCACGGCACTGCCTTTTGGGGCCACCACTGCAGAGCTCCAGCTGAGCTGCCCAGGTGCTGGTTTTTTAGGGGTTGCAAGCTGACTTTCCCATTATAGAAGGGACATCATTTTGGGGCAGATGTGGTCACCAGGTCATTTGAATGCCTTTGTTTGAGGTTGTGTTTTGGGGTGCAGGATCCATGGCCGTTCCTGAAGCCAAACCGTACGAACCGTACGAACCGAACTGGTCGAAAGATGAATGGCTTGGCTTCGGAGGATTCGCTTTTGGTCAAACCACTGCAGGGGATCCAGTTATAGAGCTGGCAACCAGTGGTTCGACCCAATATAGACCCAAAAACGCTGGTTTCTTACAGGGATCCACTGGGTCGAATCCACTGGGTCTTTGGGATGTCAAGCAGCGCTGCCTCCCCATGCCATTCGCCTGCTTTGATGCACATCGCTCCGATTGCACCCTGCTTTCCCCCCTGGCATCGGAGGTCCCAAGGGTGTCGGTCGGTCGAGTTGGGATCAAACCGAACGGTTCGAACACGAGTTGTCTTCTAAACTCTTTTAGAACAATTACATGAAGAAACAGGTGTTTATATACTTTACGGATATATCATGTGGACGATCATGTTTAGTACAGTTGGACGATCTTGGTCTAAACCACCCAGTTCAGACTTCTCCCCAAAGCTGCCAATTGGTTGGGCGTGAAGGAAGCTTTCTACTGTTTGGGGGAGAACAGACCAGAGCCCCCAGGCCATGGGGTGTCTATGAAAGACCGCCCAGTGCAGCGACGGGTTCCGTCCGGTTTTTCAGTCTCAAAGCAGGCAGGGGGTTGCGCGACCCAGGAAATACGTGGGACAACCTGCAAGCACCGTCGTTGGGGAATTCGGGACTCCCCAAATCATCTCAAATCCGAAATGAGGTGTTCCTAGTAGCGTGGCACTTGTTCCTAATAGCTTCTTGTTTCTACTGAGGTGAACAGTTCGGTTCAAGAATGTGGATGTTTCCACAGATCGGTTCGCCGTACTCACCCGGCGCCAGCATGTACGAGCTCCTCTTCCTTGATGCTGGCCTTGGACTGTGGCGATCGAGTGGACGTGACCAATGCCGCCTCTTCCTTGGGCGTGGTGAGCAGCAGCTTCGCGTCGACTGGGCAGCAGCTCCGGGGTTGACACGGAGAGACCGGATGGGTCGTGGAGCCATATGTGCGGGGGGGGGAGTCACTCGGGCTGTTGGAGGGAAGGTGGGGGTCGTGGACATGTTCTCCATGTAAAGCAGATCGAGACACCATATACGGAGTCCATTTTTTGGACCCAAAGAAACGGGTGCATTTCAAAGACTCGTCTTGGCCACCAAGCGTTTTGCAGGTCTTTTTGAGCTGCATGTTTCTTGGCTTTGGTGAGACAGCTGCAAAAAAGAATCGATCGAATTGATACCCCAAATGAGGGGATCATGAGCACACCTACTGCAGTACTCTCCAACAAGCATGCGTTTGGAACTCCTGTACATACATAGCTAGCCATAGTTATGTACTCTAACTGGAAGGGTTGGCTAGTAGCTCTTGGGCCAGACATGGTTCTTCTGGTATGCTGTTCGACTGTTGTGGAAGAGTTCATCTGGCTTTAGGGAGATTCCTCTCCAAACCTCCCCACAAAGGAGTGCTTATTGCAGGCTAGGAGTGCCCATTCTCCCTCCCTTGGAGGCTTAACACCATTCCTTTGGAACTGCTGGCTGACCCGTGAACCATGGCCTTCAGAGGCCCACAAAAGAGAGGTGTACTTCAAGGTGATATTCTGCCCCCCTGGATCCAGAATTGTTATATACATCTCCATATTGGCCAGTTTTAAACATCAACAGTCCATACCAGAATTGGTTTCAATTTGAACAGGGGACAGGACACCCTGATTTTGGGGTGTGAAAGCCATGGTCTCCTGTAGATGTTCCCTGTTCAAAACCGATGGCTTCATTTCCCCAGAAAGCCGCCACCACGATCCGACTCCATCGCGCTGCCTTCCGCGGCACCTCCACTGCTCTGACACTGCTCTCCGCGAGCGCGCCCGCGCTCGCCGGCGCCCGCGAGGGCACTCAGCGGCACATCTTGGAGCGCTCACTTCGACACCACGACGTTGACACCGGGGATCCAATACCATCTTTGCCCCTTGGACGAAGCCAAAGAAGCCGAGCTTGGCCGAGCCGAAGGAAGGTTGGCCGAGCGGTCCAATCGGAAGGTTGGCCTGGGAATAGATATGCCGCGCCAGAAAGACCCCAGGTCAACCCTATAGGGATGTTCGATCTTGCAGGACTTTTTAGATTTTTTTCGATCTGGCTGGACCTGGAGGCTTATGGGTCGTGTTATGTTTTCTTTTTTGGAATCTCATTATGGCAACCCCGAACTTTGTCGAGTAAGTCGATCTCCCTAATAACTTAATATAACAAGCCTAGCTTAGGCCAGATGGGAAACGGCAAGCAATCCCTTTTTTGTGATCTCTCCCATTTCGATTCGTGCACAAGGAAACCATGTACATGAAGATTTCCACGGTAGTCCACGGCTATGATCCACCCAAAGCTTGTTGCACATAAAGCTATTGGGCCTTGGCAAGCCATTGAAACAATGGCTTTGAGCCAAGAACACACAAGCGAACTCCCATGGTGGAAGCTCCACAAACGAGTCTTGTTCATATCCAATCATGTTGTGACAATCAATCTTGGCGAGCTACACAATTTGGGTGGGTGTGCCTGCCAGATCCTGTGTGTATGTGTGACAAAATGGGACATGACCCCAACAAAGAACAGGTACGACTGTACCAATTTTCCGGTTGCAGATGGATGATTTTTCTTGGGAGTGCCTCCACTGCAAACACCTTCCAATTCGTTGAGCACCACAGATGAGTCTGGTCCCACCATCTTGGCTTATGAGAATATATGGTTGGTTTATCATTAGTAAGTTTCAGAGGACTAAGGATGGCTTTGGTCCGGTGATTCCTGGGCTGCTCACGAACTCAGATTCACTTATAGGAACAATTTCTCGGTCTTCTTGGCAGACGAATATCCCGTGTCACGGTACATAATGTAATTATATAATCCCTAGCCATCCCTAGCCTATTATCCTTCAAAGACCATTAAGTAAAAGGTTGACCTGGTATTTTGTCGTCTCAAAATCCGCCAGTAAAACGATCTGTTGTTTGGTAATAGCGCGACCCTCACAACCATGGTGGGCCACGAGTCGCCGAATGTCGGTTGTCGGTGCTGAGGCCTCGATCTGGACGGCACGACTGGCAGCCTCGCCTTGGGCACCACTGGCTTCATGGTCTATGTGCCCCGGCTTGACCTTGTCTCGCGGTATGGCAAGGCGGCAAGACCTGATCGCCAAGCAAACCTGGCAAGTTATCGGTATATACCAGGCAATACCTGGGTTTTCTTATGCTACCTGGCAATACCTGGTATGGACCCACATGGAAATATATGGACCCCCTTTTTTCCCGAAGGTGCGGACGTCGTGCACGCATTAAGAGCTGATGTTTTCCTGCGCGGCGGGAACGTCGTGCACGTGCCCGACTGGCATGCTGCGCCAAAACTGGAGCGGTCGTGCGGTGAACAGATCCATCCAGTGAAGGGTTCTTTTCTCGACTGGACTGCGGTGCCTTCCACCCTGAAGGCCAAATGTCCGTAGGTCTAGCCCCTTAGGTCTAGCCCCTTTGGTCTAGCACTTGGACGAGTGAGTTCATCCTCACCAACCGACAGCTTCTAACAGGTGAAAACGACCGGGCGGCTGGTCTTCTCGACTGGTTGAAACATGCCGGCAAGCCGATCAAGAGGGGATTGCTAAGTATATTTGCTACGAATTGCCATGACCGCAACACGTCCATTGATTCTGTCAAGGAATTCTTGATGCTTCCCATCTTTCATGCGTGAAACACGTCCTGCCACGTTCTGCAGTTTTTGCTTTATAACGTGCGCACCAGTCCCAGACGGCCTTCATGTCTGCGCCAGCCATGGATCGCTTTGTTGCCGATGGCTGCGCAAGCCCAAAGTCAAGAGGCAGAAGACCGTCTTCTCCTGATCTTCCAGTTTCGCGTCAACGAAGTGAACGCGTGGTCTCATTAGAAGCTGAAGAGATCTTTGGAGCCAAGCACTCGATCAAGAGCAAGCGCACCAAACGAGCCCTTTGGAGCAGGTCATGTGGGAGCCTTTTGATCGACCGCATGATGTCGTCGTTGCAGTGTGGGCCTCTAGTGGTAGTTAAAGAATCTATGTGGGTGTGTATTAAAATAGGGAGACCGGGAGTCGGGAGACCTACACACCCCTCAAAGAGGAAAACTATAGAAAAACAAAAAGGCGGGGGGTCCCCGCATTTAAATACACACCTATGTGATAGTCGAGGAATATGCGTGTGAACTGACTATTGTTGTTATTTGTATTTTCCATCTGTCAAGCTCCTGGGCTTTGTCAAACCCAAATCAATCTCGGAGCTCGAAAGAAGCGCAAAGTGAGTGTACAATAATGTACACTACCTGCCCGGTGAGGGGACATGCTGCACATTTTTCGTTTGGTTACCCTGGTTTCCCCACTCAAATCCAAAGGAAGGCCTAACAGTCTGACTGGGTTACCAGAAGTCGCAGCTCGACACGTGACACGTGCCGAAGCAAACGTGACGGACTTCGTTCCGGGACGAAGGGAACTGAAGAGTTTGCATGGTTTTTAACATGTTTCTCTTTTTTTAATCGCTTCATGCAGCCGTATGGTATAGCCAGCAGCCTTTACATGTAAACAACATTGTAGTCCAACATGCGAGCTGTTCCCAGCTAAACAAATTGCCGCTCCGGGTTCCTCTTTACCTCCAAACCCAGTCTGACTGGACGCCGTTTCATGGAGGTGTTTTCGGTGCGACGGTCGTTTCAGGGTTTTTCATCCTTCAAAGCCAGCTGGAATCGGAACCCTCTCATGTTCGATCAGATGCGGAATCTAGAACTGTGAAGGTATTGGGGGGGCGCGCACCAAAAGAAAGGAATTGGGGCCAATCCGTTTTGAGGCGAAGCACGATGGTTTAGTCATGGGCATGACATACCGGTAGAATTCGGTCAAAGCATGCTCCGAAGGAAATCAGACTGTTTGCGTATGTTTGTTTGTTTGTTTGTTTCCTTCTACCACAGTTTGTTTCTTGCATACCTGCATGTGGGGGACCAAGGTTGTTTCCCTCGACGTGGAAACATTGGGCCCTGGATTTACGGCGATGGCCCGAACTTCGCAGACATAGCTGAAAGTGTATGATCATCCACCTGCACTTTCATGAGAGAATGCAGACTACACCAAAATAGACAATCAAACTGATAATCAAACACTATGTACTTGCATGCATGTGTCTCTTGTTGCCAAAGTCTTAAACCGTCTGGTTTCTTCTGCAGGTCATCTCAATGCGTCCAGTCCAGAACTGGCATGATTTTCTACAGTTCTATTGGCAGATGGTCGGGTTCGAGAGTGAGAATAGTTGTAAGTGTGTGAAGTATATGGGGATGACAACCATGTGGAATCTTTCTCCTGCGAATTGTTTGCCATCTCTAATTTCCGTCCTTCAACTCAACAGGCTGGGCTGGAGTGGAATTTCTGTCTTTATAGTGTTTATTGCCGAGGAATTTTTAGAGTTTTTCACAGTCACGCTTTCTTGGGATCATTTGATGCTGGACTTTCAAATGTTTGACTTGCTCCAAGTAAACAATTTTCAGCATGTCGGCGGACGACTGCCTATGATCATCGATCCCAAGATGAGAATAATATGCATTGCTCAACATGCAAACAGAAAGTTGTTTGCGGATTCTTCAAGATCATAGTCCCTAGACTGGATCTTGCCAGTGCGCTTGGATCTTTTGGTCTACAGGGACTGATCATTTTGCGGCTAGATGGGCGCGTAGTAGCCCTACATCCCATTTGCAAAGAGATATAGGGCCTCCAGATGCAGCTCCTCTGCATTTTTCATACGCGCGCGACATTTGGCGGAAAGAGTCGATGGTGCGAACGGGTGCAGCGGAGAAGGTGGACGGGATGCCTCCTCGTCCCGTTCGTTATTTTTGGGGCGACGTCGCGCAAGCGACAGCATGTACATCCATGTACCAGGTTCATCCTCAGGTTGACCATGGCTGATATGGGGGGTTCGGATTATTTAGATTCGGATTTACCAGGACCAAGTCCAAGTATTGTCCTCACCACTAGCTCTTTGTTTTCTGCCGTGAAGTGAGAGGT